CTCTTGAGAGGTTCTGGCAATAGGGCAGGAGATGGAGACGTTGGAAAATATGCTTTTTGTAGCAGCAGCGGAAGGAAATGTGAATACTTTGAAGAAACTGCTTCAAGAAGATCCAATAATTCTTGATAGAGCTATAGTTAATATTTCTCCGATAGTCCTATACACGTATCAGCAATATTAGGATATAGTGATTTCTGAATCAAAACCTTACGAAATAAAACTAAGAAAATTGCTGAAATTTAAAAAAAAAATGTTTTGTTACACCGGATTATTTTTGTTCAGTTCCATAAATTTTGACATCACGACTGTACCTCATTGCCCACCAACCAACGACCCATCTAACATGTGAAATAGGGGAAAAATGAGTGAGTATATGAGAATACTCAATATGATACAAATTAATGGTGCAATCTCGAATAAAAATATTAAATCATGTGTCAAAAATATCATACCGTTATATCATATCTTTAGAAACCGATAAGAGCTCATAATATATCATATCTTTGGTACCGAATGACCATTTCATATGATATCATAACTTTCATTAACATAATACTTATCAACATAAAAAATAAATTAAATGGGACAAACATTTACACCCCGTAATCCTACCTTGATATATAAAAAGGATTGTTGGAAGAAAAGCAAGAAATTCACGTTCTCAAAATCCTTTGTTGTCGTGTCTGTATGCGTGGTCCACCCCATGAAAGAAATATCATCCATAACATTTAAAACTACGCGTTTTCTTTGGTTTTCATTTATGGTTAGAAAGTTGGAGATATATACAAATGTATAATTAATGCGAGGCCAACAAGATTTGCGTTTGTTAACTTCCTTTTTTTTTTTTTTGGCGTTTGGAATTCAACATTAAATGAATCTGTCAACTCTTACCTCATTTCCTAAATTCACAAAAATAAATATTAAAATTTCTTGGTTTTACTCTTCTTTCTCGCTCTAGAATTCTTTGACTTTCCTATTTTCTGACTGACTGACTACCTGCATAGTGCACCAAACCAGGTACTTAAATAATCCCAAACCCATTCATTTTCCCTAGCCTGCCTTTGCCACCTCTCTTTCCCTTGCATGCATCTCTCCACATATTACTGTAGAGAAAAAAAATTCTTCGATTCTTATGGCCGTTGAAGCAAGGAATTTCAATCTTTTTCCTTCACAATTCATGCCCAATAGGTACTTTTAATCACCTTTGAGAATTTATTTACCAAACACACTTCTAATTATTTTTGCCTGATGAGTGTTTTTTGATATTTGCAGTGGTTTCGTGAATTCCAACCAGGGAAACGCCTTTGCATACAGTACCCAGATGGAATCATCGGCGGTGCCTTTGCTCTCATCAATGCCCGAAAATTTATTGCCGATTTATCAATCTCTTGATTCGACTCCGGCGAAAACTTCTTTGAACACGGATAGCGGACTCACATACAACTTACCGCCGGCTCCGAGAAAGCGCTCCAGAGAATCTATGAATCAGTTATATGATGCATGTAATTTCGGAGCACCCCAGGAAAATAATAGCATTTCTCCATCTTTTGTCGGTGAAGAAGTTTTACCTCAAATCCAGCAATACCAGTTGGAGATTGATTGCATTATTTCCCAACATGTAAGTATCGGTATAAATTTTATAGATTTGTGGGTTTTGGATGAATTTGGGGTTTACTGTTTAGTTTTCTGATCAAAATTTATGGTGATTTTCAGACGAAAAAGATTAAATTGGAATTGGAAGAGAGGCAAAAGCAACAAGCGAGATTGTTGCTGTCCACAATAGGAGAACGTGCGATGAATAAACTAAACGAAAAGGAAGTTCAGTTACAGAGAATGGGGAAAATGAATTTGGTTCTTCAAGAAAGAGTGAAGAGTCTTTTTATGGAAAACCAATTATTGCGTAACTTAGCACAAACAAACGAGGCTACGGCCAACTCTCTGCGTACAAACCTCGAACAAGTATTGGCCCATGTTAGCGACGAGCGCCTCTCCGGCGGTGCAGCTGTCGGTGGAGGTGC